CCTGTTTTCCAGGTGGGAAAACACAAATGCATATGGGTAGCAGAGATATAGGGAAATCCCATCACAGTCATTTGGCCTTGTCCTCCCTTGCATAATCCTTCTGCCAGAGCTTGGCTGGCAGCAGCACAGGCCATGTCCAGGTTGAAAAGGGACACTACTAGAACACCTGCTCAAGTCATCACTGAGAAACCTGGAAAATTAAACTAACCTTTCTGCTGCTATGTGCTAATTTGTTTTGCTTGCAAACATCAGTCACTTGTTTTTTCTATATTATTATATTAAATGGAGAAAAAAAAACCCCAAGGTAGATCAAACATGCATATATACAATATGCTGCAGCACTGGGAACTTACTATCCAAGAGATGCCTGTACAAATTCTTGTGTCCCATTTTGCAAGAGACATTTAACAGCCTTCTCCACTTAGAAATATTTTTCTGAGGGGTGTTTTTGACTTCTTTTTCTAGGCTCTATTTTTTGCATGTTGGTGCTGAAAGCTGTGGTTTTAGATGGTGTCCCAGGCCCAGTCAGACATTTGACATAGACTTTTACCACATTAAAAATGAAATGTTGTCTCTGCTTTATGAGGTTCCTTTTTTTTTTTTTTTTTTTTTTGAACAGAAATCTCTTGCACATTGCAATGACACATGTAAAATGTTTCAGGCTTGTCCCTTGGTCCCCTTCATTCACCTCCCTTTTTTTATCAGATATCATAAGAGCTTGCTTCTTCTGGGGGGGGGTGTGTGGAGCGGGGGGGGGACTTTTCCCCTCTGAACTTTCGTGTGGTGGGGCTGTCTGTTAGTTCGCAGCCACCAAGCTTAACAGCTGTGAAGATTATAAATGTATTCTCTGACAAGACTATGTTGCATGTCTAAGAAACCATACATCTAAAAAGCAACAGGCAAAATATAATACGCCTGCATAATTCTTCTACTAATGTATTCCCATTGCAATCTTTAATGGAGCTAAGGCTGAGGCTTTTTTTCCCCAGATGTGGGCATGTGGCATGCTCTGTTTCCCTGGCAGTTCAGTGGTGTTGCGTTGACATGGCAACTTTTGATCCTGATTCTTCTTCCCAGAACAGTGCTCTCTAAGGCACAGCTTTCCGACTCCACACAGGTTCAGTCGTGCTTGCTTTTATGTAGGGGAATTAACTGGTGGTGGGTTCCGATTCTCACAGTGTCACCTTTCAGCAGTATTTGCAGCAAGCACGGTCCTTTCTTTTTCCCTTGTTCTAACTGGTCTGTTTGCTTAAAAGTCTTAAATGTGCAATATAAAAGTGATCGAAACAGTGGTAAACTATGAGAATGCAATAAAATCACCTTAATTCAGCTTCCAGTAGAATGATGAGCTAGAGCGAAGATAAAAGTAACTGACTCCAGCATGTGACGCCCACTCGTGATGGAGTCCTGCCTTCCCCTCACCCCACTGTCTCTTCCTCCCGCTGCGTGTCCCGCGCAGGCTCAGGCCTCCTCCATGCGCCTGTTCATTAGCTTTGCAGAAAACCGATGTGGGAAAAAGCACGGTCTTATTTTTTTCTGCAAGGTCAGTGAGTTGAACTGGCTTATGGAGGTGTCTGATGAATGTAAGAGCTTGGGTGGAGGTTGGACCATATGGCTGAAAACAGGAATTGCACAGCCAGCTCAGGAAAGGTAAAAAGAAGAAAAAGGGAAACCGAGAATTGGAAAGAGGAAAAAAGCCTTGCCTGTTCAGTGGAGGGAATACATTTGATCAGTTCAGCTGACTGGAACTGCTCTTCTGTGTTTAGCCTTAATTATTTCTGCTTCCACTCTCTCATCCCTTAGTCAGTCTCTTCTAATTAGAAAGCCCTTCACAGTAGGGGTTGTGCATAATCTTGCAGGTGGACTCTGAGATACTGCGGGAACATTAACAATGATATAGTAATAATAATTCTAGTAGGTCCAGCTCAACTCCTGGTTAACTGTTGGATTGGTTCCTCCATTTAAATGATAGTGGGTTTTTTTTCAGTGTGTATCATAGAAGTGATAGCCTCTGTTGTTTAAAGAAAATAGAAGATTCAGTTGTTCTAGGTAACTCGCACCTTGCATAATGAGCAGAACTAATAGGTAGATGGCTTCCTGACTTGCGAAGCAGAAACTGGGTGAAAAACACTAGTAAATTGGAGCAATGGTTGTTCTATGTATTTCAAGCGTGTGCAGAAGCAAGACACAGGTAGGGTACAGGTAGAGGCACAGGCCCCTTGCATTTATGAAGTTGTAATCTTCACCTCCCCCCAGATTTAGGCTAATTGGATTTTTTATTTTTCTAGTTCTTTGACATGCTTTTGAAAATTAAGTATTAATGACCTGCCACAACAGTCAGTGCCATCGTATAGACTGATGGACTGTGTGCCTTTGAGCTTAACCCTTCCAATAAATCACACAAGCATTTCTTTGCTGGGAAGCGCATGCTGCTGGTGCTGCATGTGGCGGATGAGGTACAACGTAAGTAGCCCCACTCCATACAGGGAGTGACCTAAACCGTGCCTTTGGACACATACCAAATTAGGTTGACTTAGGTCTTTGTGTAGTTTTACGTTGGAAAAGATCTGTGGCGTCCTTCCTGGTGCAGGGTTAGCAGGGGCTGAACTGTGGCAGCTGAGGTAACATCTGGCTTGGAGGGTAAGAGCTGCCGACAGCTGAGGGCCATGTAGGGCCTTGGGGAAACACAGCCTAGCCAGTTCTGCTTCAGCATGGAGACAACCCCCAGCCAAAACTGAAGTTACTTGCCTCATCAAATAGGTGCTACTGAAGAATAAAACTAAAACAAAAAAACTCTTTGTGGAGGACATCGTAATTACAAATAAGAGATTTATTTTTATGGAAGAATTATTCAAGGATCATGAAACAACAAATAAGCCAGCTTGAGGATGTTGGAAGACATTACACCGGAAACATCAATATTAACATAGCAAATGGTGGAAAACATGAAATTAGATAAGGTGCTCAATTTTCGGTCATATCAGTAGGGTCATTAGCAGCAATTACAAAACAGCAGAACATAGGGTATTGAAATTGAAAAGGAAATACATTTTGTCTTTTTTTTCTTTCTGAAGTACAAACCATTTGTAAAGCCCTCAGTTGTCTTCCATAGCATGGAGTTGTGCACGTATTAAAAAAAGAGAAGCAGGCTTGTGTGCTCTCGTTGAAATTTAACACTGACAAGAAGGCAAGTCAGTCTAAAGTATCTGCAGCACATATAGGCAGTGGCTGCAAAGTGGTTGCATGCATGTTTTATGCAGTGGTCCTCTCATTTTAGTAATCTATCAAATGTTAGCAGAGCCATTTATGTGTCAGGATCCCATGCAACTGGTATGCGACTCTTCATCAGCACTGACAAAAAGTAACAGCCCTGCTACAACGGGTTCAGGCAGTAATTCCCACGACTGTCAAAACAACTAAAATCCATGGGAATGCAAGCTGGGCTGTCCCTGGGAACCTCATTTTGAGAGAGCCTCAGGTTAAATTCAATCAATCAGTGCATCTGAAATTATATATACTCTACTTGCATATTTTTTGGACTGAGAGGGTTCAATATATAAACTTTTGGGGAAAAAAAAATCATAAAATCTTACTCTATATAAATAGTTAACTATAAAAGTTGCTTTATCCGTAGAAAATTAGGATCCAGATTCTTCATTTTCTTTGAACGTAAAGTGAGAGTGCTCTGCGTAAACATCGTGTCTCTACACACACA